TCCAGTGATTTGCTTAACAAATGTGGCAAGAAAAATCGTAAAATGGGGCAAAGCTCACTTAACAAATTTCTCACTTAGCAAGATAAAGTTTGGGCTCAATTTTGGTTGTAAGCTGAGGACTACCTGTATTCTTGCAGCTAGGTATGGAGCCAATCAAAAATATCACTCCAATGTATGAAACAGGAAAAGATCATAATCAAGGCAATGTTTTCCAATCTCATCAACTTTTAACATGCATGGACTTCATCTCCCAGAATTCTTCAGCCAACATGCTGCCTGAAGAATTCTGGAAGTTGAAGCCCATACATCAGGGGTGTCAAACTGCTGGTCCACGGGCTGGATGTGTCAGGCCGAAACCATGCCCACCCATTGCTGGCAATGGAAAAAAAGTCGCGATACGTCGCAATACATCACATGACATTGCATGACACCCCTGCCATACATCTTCAAGTTGCTAAGGTTGAAAAACACTGATCAATGGTATAGAAGGCCACTGAACAGCTAAAGAAGAATTGTGTTTAACCTTCTCCAACAAAAGGTAACCTTGTCAGGCTAAGGTTATTGTAAGCTAAACTGGGTCTAATGGACCCAAATCAAAATGGTGGTAGAAATATAAAAGTTTTGGGGAGGGGAGAGATGAAGATGATAATTATAAATGAGATTTTAAAACTAAATATAAACATGAGTCAATTATATGAGCATGATTGTAGGATGATTAAATTAAGTAAAAGATCTTGCTCTTAAAAGTCAGAAATCAATTTTGAACATATTTAAAAACAAAATATGTTGTTTGTTTACACAGAACCTAGACAGTTGTAAATTTGAAATGAACTGGGCATGAATATTTTGGATATTTATTATTTATTATTATTATAAGTCCTATAAAGTGCAGGCTTTCAAAAATCCAGTTACTGTATTAGTTGAATTGGAATATACAGAAATCATGCAACTGTGTACTAAAATGTTGTAGTTTGTGTTAGAATTTCTTTTATATTGATTATACTATATTTACCAATGTCATTAATTTTTAACATTGGTACAATACATTGTGTGGATAAAAAGAGTCTATGAAAGACAGAAATCTCAAAAATGAGTAGAACATAATATATTTTTCCTAACTGCCTGATAATTTTATTTATCTCTTCCGTGTCTTTAAATATACTGTGAGACAAGAGGATTATGTCCCATCCATTAGTACAAAGTAAAACCCTATTTTCATTCTTGTGCTAATATCAAATAAAATACTTTTGATTTACATGAATTTTTCTATGGATTGAACTATGAAGTCTGTTAGTGTTCCTGCAATTGTTAGGGAAACATACAGCCACAAAGAAAACTATGTTATATTTTGTAATTTTTCTGCTACTGTATACACAATGTTTCATATTTCTATTACATATAATATTTCCACAATAACAACAACAGGCAAGTTAAAATAACCACATTTGAAAGGTGAAGTATTATCCTTTATATTGCACCTGGCATAAGAAAGCTAAGAAAAGACTATTCCATTCTGTCACTGAATTTTCAAAAGACAAATTCAACAATACCAGAAGTTTAATTTTTTAATATTATAGGAATGTTATACTGTATTTATATTATATACATTCTGGAATAAAAGGAAAAACATTAACATGTGCCAGAAAATTAACATTCCCTATATAATTTAAACAAATATTTTTGAACGTATTATTTAAAGTATCTTAACCATTTATAATAACAATATTAATAATAAATGAACTTTATACATTTATTGTACTATATTAATTTCAGAAAGCCTTTCAGCAAGGACCCCTTATTTTTTTATTTTTTTTTCTGATAAAAAGGCATCTGTCATTGGATTGACTTACTATAATCTTAGTGGCTGATCTCAAGACTCTAGAATAACCTCTGTTGAGAGATTTGCTCTCTGCTTCTGTCCACCATTGAAAGCTACCATATGGTTTGAAAGCTGTTCTAGGAACCAACTGAGTTTAAAAATGAGTACAAAAAGAAAAAAAATCTTCAAATACTTGGCATACTGCTTTCGTTTACTCCCAAAGAAACAATTGAAAAGGTTCAAATCTGTAAATACCTGAGGCATAAGGTATAAGACATTATATTTGGAAAATGTGCTTCTTATAGTATGAATTTCTTGCATCAGCAATATCATCAGAGAAGGTGATATGATATTAAGACATCTCAATGGCATGGTTATATAATTTCAAATGGACCAGTATGTCACATACATCATGTCTGTAAGTAAAGTGCCAAAAATGTGTTATATGGACTGAACTTTAATAGCCAACCTAATTTTTCATTTAGTTATCTGAACATTTTTTAAATGAAGACTTTAAACTTAAACTATTTTGAAAATCATGTATATATCTGTTAATTAAATTTATAAAAACGGTATGCTTTCATTTATAGTTTGCCAGGAAGAAAAAAATCCAATTAGACAGCAGGAAACTGCCCATGTGATTTCAGAATGCATATAGATGCATCTATTAAAAATGTATAACCATAAGCTTGCTAATAACCTTCAAGTTAAACACACCTTCCAAAGCATAAAAACTGAGTAATAAATAAATCTGGTGAAAAACAGAACTGGTTCATGAATATTAACAATGGAGCAACAGCTTTTAGACAGACTATACACAACAAATAATTTCAGTATTTGAAATTTCCATAGTATGAGCTACCAATTCTAGATTCTAGTCTAACTAATGACTAGAATGATACTAAAATGACCACCTTCCAATTTACACAATACTGTAGGCTGGGCAAGAAATATTTTAAATGAAATGAAATAATAAAAGAAGCTTCTCGCAGCTTATCAGCTACCCCTAAAGTTCACCTATAGCTCTTCTGTGCCACGTTACAGAATGGAAAAATCTGAAACCTGGATGTTGTCATAAACCACTTAGAAACCTAAAACTTTTCAGATGCAGAGAAGATGCCATAAGCCATCTTCTAAATCCACCTTTGCATGAAGAGCAAACAAGCAAAGTAATAAATCTCTTTATGCCTTTTCTTGTTGTTTTATCTATACAATACTGGGATTCTATATTTTTGAAGAGACCTGACTTTTTTAACTGGGAAGTGCACTTAGATTATTTGAAGCTCTAAACAAATAGTGAAGTTTATGGGCAGAAGTAAAGATACAGAAATAATAATAAGAAGCATCTTTCAACATCTGTGAGTGCATCTTCTAAGGATGATTTCACAAAAGTTATGTGTCCCTTTGATTTCCTTTTGTCTCTTTCCTTGTGATGCCATCATTGGTGGACAAATAATATTCAAACCTACAGTAAAGCACAAGTCTAATCAATACTTAATACTGTAAGACTTGAATATAAAATATATATTTTTAATTCTATTATTACATGTAGAATGTTCACATACTTGGTTACTGTATTTTTGCTTTACATCCGCATATGGCATATAGCCCGGTTTAGGTGCATTAGTTAAACACTGACGTGATCCCAAGAATTACAATGCCATTCCTGAAAAGTAACTTTTCGGTGCAGCTGGGCAACGTAACACTTCTTTTGCAAAGTTGTTCCAAACAGGTTAAGCGATTGCAAGGGCAAGTACCAATTCTTAAGTGGTCCCTTTGATGTAGGTGTGGCTTATTCGTATATTAACATATTTGGCACGCTAAACATCGAGGAATGTATTTCTGGGTAAATAACGTGAAGATGAGACTCCAAAAATATTTTTTTAGCAGTTTTGGCTCTGCACCGTGAATGCCAGTGCTGCGTTGGTTTAGCGCGCACGTTAGTATATAGGCTTGTTGGTTGGCTGGTTTTTTTTTTTTAATAGCTCTCCCTCTTTCTATTTCTGTATTAACAACAGTTGCACGTGAACGCTAAGCACAGGCTCGTAGACACTTTTTAATCTCCCTTTCTTCTCCCCCCTCCAATCTATTTCTGGGTAGTTTTCCAGTATAACTATTTGCAGGCGTGCATTTCTTTGCCGCACAGAGTTTATATGTGCTTTCTCGTATTGCAATCGTTTTGTGGCTCTGGGTAAGCCTCCCGGAGGAAAGGGCGCACTGACGACATCTTGCCCGCCGAGCTGCAGCTGGGGCACGACCCCGGGAAAGCTCTTATTTCCCAAACTCTCAATCTGACCCGCTGGGGAGCAGCCCGGGGCCCGCCGGGGGCTCGCGGACCAAACTCATGCCCGCCGCCTCCCCTCGCCAAGCCCCTCCTCCCCTCGCTCGCCCCTTCGCCATTCCTCCCCGCTCCAGCCGCCCTGGCAGAGCCCCCCGCGGCTGTGAGGCGCGGCTGCTGGCACCCGCCAACTCCAGGAGCGCCAAGCAGCGCGCCTCGGATTGGCAGTTCCTGAGCCCGGCCCGAGGACTTCCTCGGGGCAGCCGCCTCCCCCTGCGGGAGTCGGGATGCTGCACTAGATAGGCCTGGGCTCCGCTCCGGCGGGGCGCGCTTCGGAGGTTCCTCTCGCACGCCCCGACCCCACTCCAAGGCTGGCTCGCCCGGTCCGTGCGCGGGAAGCGCGGCTCGGGGAAAGGCAGCGGCTCCGGGAAAGGCACGACGGAGCAGGAGGGAGCCCGCAAGGAAAAGAGCGACAAAGCGCACTTCCTCCCCCCTTCCTTTGCCTCCCCTGCCTTTTTCTCCTCGCCCTCCGGCTGCTCTCCCTTCCCCCTCCCTCCTCCCCCACTTTTTTCCGCTCTTCTCTTCACTCTCAAACTCCCCCCTCCTCTCTTTTTTACACATACACACACCACGCGCACCCTCGCCTTCTCCCGGTTCTGTCTTTCCCCCCCCCCCCATATGCGCGCGCGCGCGCGCGCTCTCACACCCGCGCGCCCTCCTGAGCCGAGCCGAGCCTTTCCTCGGCTCCTTCTGTTCCTGTCATCTCCCTTCAGCTCCTGCCGAGGCGCCCGGCGCGCTCGTTCGCCTGCCCGTCTCCCTCCTTCTGCGCTCTTTCTCTTTTCCCCCGTCTCTTTGCCTTTCTCCTCCGCTCCCCCTCCCCGCCTCCGTCGCGCACCTACTTACCTTGCACCCCCGTTCACACCCTCAGTTACACCTGAACACCCGGACGGGCGACGGCGGCGACACTAGCAGCACCGGCGGCGAGCAGCATGTCCCGAAGGAAACAGAGCAAACCCCGGCAGATTAAACGTAAGTTTTCCAAGAGCGGAGAAAAGGGGGCTGTGGGGAGGGGGCTGTTTCCCAAGGGTGCTTTTCTGGATCTTTTCGCTTTCTGAGGCTTGGCTAAAAATAACAAGGGGGGGGGGGGAGAAGAAGGCGAGTGGAGAGAGAGCCGCTGAAGTGCGAGCGCCCCGAATCGAGTTTGGAAGGGGCTGTTTGTTTTTGGAGAGCTGGGCTTGGACATGCACCTCGCTTTTCTCCTCCTTTTTCTTTAAAGATCTTTTGTTTTGAAGGGTTCCTAGACATCGGGTGATGCATTTGGGAAAGTTAGCATTAAACTCTTAGGAATGGCTGGCTGGCTGGCTGGGGAGGGGTAAATGGGTTTTTACGCTCAGAGAACTTTCTCTTTTCTGGGAAGCGTGCGGCTGAAGGTATTTTTGCCAACAGCAGTCCCGGGGAACAGAGGAGACGGGTGGTGGGCGAGAAAAGAAAGAATTGCCCTGGAAAGCAGCCCAGAGAGCCAGCTGAGCGCGTGCAGAGTGCCATTCCTCTCTCTCCCCCCCCCGCAGCGAGTTCCTGCAATCAGGCCAAAGACACGCATGCTATTCTTGGGGTATGGGGTGGGGTGGGGTGGGGGGAAAGAAGGTGGCACCACACAGCAGCAGTGGCCGGACTTTTTTGGGGGGGGGAACCAAGTGCCCACCTCCCAAAACTGTTCCTTTGCCGGGAAGCGAGGCTCCTTTGCAAACTTATTCCAGCGAATTCCCGTCGCTCGCAAGCAGTGGCGCGCGTGGAGGTAATTTAGCAAACGCCCACTCGTTATTTTATTAGGATAAAAGTGGAGGTGGAGCAGGTGAATGAGAATCAGTCTCTTTGGCATCCTTTCCCTTCTCGCTTTCCTCGCCCCAGCCTGGGACAAACTTGGGGATAGTCCCTATGATGTCAACTTCCTAAACTTTTCTGAGCGCTGAGATTCCTTTTTGTTTTGTTTTGGGCTTGGTCTCGCTTCAAGTAACCGGAATTAACACTACGTGTTTACAAAAAGAAAAAAAAATGCCTAAAGAAAAAAAAAGCAGTGGCCAAAAATCTTTTGAGTATACGAACCTCTCACCCCAGACGCCTTTCAAAGATAGTGTCACGTGACCTAACCCATTCTTTCTCTTGCTTTCTGGTTTTAAAAAGCATATAGAATCGGGTTTTTTTTAAAATTGCCTCGGAATATAAATTAAAGAAATTTGGCGATAAGGATAAGACTTCTCAAGGATCAAACCGTCCCAGAAAAATCTGGATTAATGTCATAAAAAGAACGATGCTTCTCAGAGTAACTTTCTGATAGTCCCCCCCCCCTTTTTTTTTTTTTTTAGCAAATACCACTTCCATAGCCTTAAAACATTTTTGTAACTTTCACTTTGTTAAGGCTCCTTGCATTTTAGAAATAACTTCTGATCCTCTGCTTCATCTGTTCATTTAAGCAGTATACAGCCAGGAATGTTACTGACTGGATGTGCTTTCTACTGTACATTGTGAATGGTGGCTTGGTTGTTAATAAATAATTAACATTAATTGGTACAAAGACCATCTTAGTCTATTTTTTCATACTTTTTATCTCCCAGTTAAACAGTTAAATGTTCTTTATGCCCATCTTATAATGTCAGATAAAGGCTTTTGTACTAATTGAGGCTATTGAATAGTGTGATAGGTCCCAAGCCAGTTTCTGTGCCTCTTTTCCTTCCTAGTAAGATGTGTTAAATTAAAGGAAGCAAATCCACTGTTTATTTTTATTGACACATGTAAATATTTATGTGCATGCTTGTCTAGATGTAACACCCACGCTATGGGGTCATTAGGGCTGTGCAGTATACTTTGGCTAGCGTTAGAGTTTAACATTGTCGAGAACTTTGTGTGCTGTTTTCCACTACTCAGATTTACTCTCTTTAAAGATAACTAAAAAGATTTTCAGAGGAAGAGAAACTCTTTACTATGGAGAATCTGTAGGGGTTAGTAGGAGAGTGGGCTAAAAAGTCATTGTGGCTGAGATTGGACTCTGGGAATTTTTTTCTTCTTCAACTGTGTTGCCTGATCACATCTAAACTCTCACCATAACCATTTCTTGAATATATTTAAATATTTAGCCCATGTGCAATTCTCCAGAACTGTGAGGGAGAACGCACACCATCTCTCCTAGTGAAATAACCCCTAGTGTGACCACCACAGTTGACAGTTAAAATAATAGGAAAACTATTGAGGAGAGTAAAGCAGTACTTTTAAGTCTGAAATCTCAGTTTTCAAAGAAGTCTTGCTGATAAACCATGCACAATTTAGAAGCTGTATGACGAGGGGTAGGAGGAAGTCAGAAAAACTCCCAAGACAGTCAGTTCAAAGGACAAAAAGGTTATTGGGCACAATTTTCCCTCTTTTACTTCATACAGTTTTCTGCTATCTAAAATTGTGATTTATGCAGTATTTTAATATTTTGCTTATTCTTTCCCCTTGGGTGCTCTCTGGGCAGTGATAAAAAAGCAACGCTGAAAGAGCACCATTAATTTGCTCTGATGACTGGCCAGATAAGGATAGATAATGGGAAAGATAAGCGGAAAAGATATACCATCAGAAACCCGATTATTACCATTAAAATTCCAGCCCAGCAATCTGCAGAAGCCTGATAATTCCTTCTCCGTTTCCACCACTTTGGATGATAAGGCAAAAAATAGTCACTCAGGGCTCCTTGATTAGACTGCCTGGATTTCGTGATAATACAGTGATAAATTATGTATTTTGCCCCATGTTTTGTTCAAACATTCAGATTTCTCCCTTTTTTTCCAAGTCTATATTTTTGCCTTCCTAAAAAATAAAATAAAAGCCTTCTCTTGTAAGCTTTTATTGTAATCGTACTTTGATAAAAAGCAGTGATAGGAGAGGTGGTATTTTGTGTGGGAGACCCCCATATCAATGTTATCAGTCCATCTCACTGCACCAGCTGCTAGCTGTTGTTGTTTTTTTGCCTTATCATCTCCTGCCAATATGCCAATAAATTGTCCAGATTGTTCTCCATTTTGTGGCTGCTATGCAAAATTTATGACAGAAATGATATTTTTTTAGAGCAAGTGCATTTCTTTATATTAGAAGGGATGGCTATGTAGTTTCATTATTGTTATTTCTTGTTGCAGTTGTCTGGGATCTGATATTTTATGAGCAGTATTATTCCAATTTCATTCACACTTACTGAAGCCTGGGGAGAAGAAAATGAGTTGATTATTTGGTCTGATTATTTATTTTGAGAATAAAATATTGCCAAACTAATTGCTTAAAGAAAAGCTTGTAAAACATTGTAATTGAATACCAGCAAAGCGGTCAAGAAATTTATTTGAAAAGATTATCAAAAGAGATCCAAATTGAACTTTTGATTGCTTTGTTATATTTATAAAAATGTACTGTATTTTTAGTTAAAATTAGACAGGGGGGAGGATAACAAATAATTTTCAAATTATGCCTAAAGAGAATCTGGAAATTAAGTATATTACATAAATAAATTAAATCTTATTCATGTTAGGACAAATGTTTTTAAAACTTTATGTTCCAAGCTTTCATAAAAAGTTTCTATTAATATATAATATTTAATTTTTTTGTCTATCAATCTTTTGAGTTCATGCATTTTCATACATTTCCATCATGAACTAGGAGATAGCTATGGTGTTAAGAAGTTTTCTCTTAGATAGAGTAATAGTTTAAAATATAATAAACTTAGCTTATTTAACATAAGAGTAGGGAAATACATCAGTAGTCTTTATTAACATTTTTACCCAGGTACCTTTTTTTTAGATATAAAACTATCTCTGTCTAGATAATTTTGCTTATGTCAAATCCTTTTGCAGAAGACCTGTATTTTAAAGCCAGTTTGTATTCTATTATAGTAATTCATTAGTCGATACAGTTAATTCATATGGAAAAATAGAATAGAAAATATTTCTTTATTTTGGAAGCTCAAGTATGGCAGCTTACTAACACACTTCATTTCACCTGCCATTAACTCTTACAAGTGCTTAAAGCTGAACAATTGATTAGTGTTTATTTAGTAACATTATTTCGACCACAGCGATAACTAGGATTTTGTGGCTACAAAGTTGTATTGTCCACTGTTTCCATTTTGGTTTTACTGTATGTTCTTGCATTCTACTGGATATATACATATATAGAGAGAAAGATCTTATATGTATAGCTTAGATTGGTGCTATCTATACCAAAGAAATGAAATAATATTTTATATTTATAGCTTTGGCAATAGGAGACCTCATTTTCTTTGATCTAATATTATTAAGTAATTGTGTGAACAACTTTTCAGAAGGTGACAAGAGTTCAGTTAATGAATATTTTGGAAATATCCAGGTGGATGTTGACTAGAAAAAGGAAATATCCACAAATATTTTCTGTTTTAAGTCTATTAAAAAAAGTTTCCTGAAATAGAATGCATGTATTTATATGTGTTAAAGTTCATTACCCCTATGAACATATTTAAATTTAGAAGTGGAGAACTTTGGAGGATAATCTTCAAGGAATAAAGCCATTTTAATCAGTTAATTAAGTGTATATTCTCCTTTACATTAGATTGTATACTATTTAAAGCAACAAAGTTGGAATATTCTGTTTAAGCAAAACAGACCAGTAACAGACCAGCATCCCACATTGCTTGGATATGAACTGTGCATCATTTTATTTGCCTTGGGGAACCAAATATTATTTTTGTGAAAGTAAGTAGTGTTTTTCACTGTGAATCATATAGAGGAGTATTCTAATTTTCAGAGGAGTATTCTAATGTTAATTCATATTATTCATATTATTCATATTATCATTAGAAGTAGCACCACATGATGAGATTCTTACAGGTCTCTAGGTAATGAAATGAAAATCATTTATTTGTAGTGCCAATTATTTTACCTTTATGAATTATAGTAATAAACATTGCAGTTAGAATGTTAATAATAAAATGTATATGAACTAATATGTTAAAGAACTAAGACCTG